TTGGACTACTTTAATTAGCTCTTGTGGGCTGGGAGAAGGGTTTTCAGAAAGTTCTAGTGGAATCTGAAAGACTTAGGCCCATGTTGTTGGATTGATAATCTCAGAGCCCAAAACAGAATGGATTATTTCTCGGCCCATGTTTAAGTTGGCTACATCAAATAATCCATAATGTATTTCTTTCACTTGTTGATGGCTAAATCATAAATTAAACTATATACTTTTAGTCAAAAAACTTCAAACATCATGAGCAAACTCTTAAAGTTAAGAAATTTTTTAATATTATATATACTTCTCTGTACTAGTAACAACAGTTTTTAAGACTTTTTTTAATTTTATATTCAAAAATTGATTTAATATGTGGTTAACAGTTTATTATAACGTTTAAAATAATATTTTATACATTTTTAATTATTCAAAAAGTAAATAATTGATATAATTGAGTTGTTCAATAAGTCTAAGTTAAAGTATTTAAGAGGTGACATGAAACGGATTAAAGAAAAAGTCGAGGAGCCACGAGATTTATAATTAATTATTTTAATTAAATTCTATAATTTTCTACTATTAATTAAGTATAAAGCTAAAACATTGAAAAATGATATTAAATTCAAAAAAAAAAAAAAAAAAAACATGAAAAAATGATATTAAATTTCAAAAAAAAAAAAAAAAAAAAAAAGCCGTTGCCAATGTACACAAAATTTTATAACCAGGCGTCCTTGAATTTTAAGAGGTTTGGGTACAGAAGAATTGGTGAAAGCCCTGGCCAAATAAAGTAAAAAAAGGATGGAAAACATTAAACTCGGGCAATAGATGATTGAAGAGATGGCGACCGCATCGATTTAAAAGGTTTCTAAGACCAAAAAACAAACTTCAAACTAAAATTAAAAAATGGCTGCCTTTGCCACATGGCAAGGCCCCCATTCTGACTTTCCTTTTTGGGAAATGTGGTATGGTAGCAACAACAAACACCAATCATCACAATTGTAACATCATCGTCAAAAAAAAAAAAAAAAAAAAAAGCCGTGCAATGTACAAAATTTATAACCAGGCGTCCTTGAATTTAAGAGGTGTACAGAGAAAATTGGTGAAAGCCCTGCAAATAAAGTAAAAGGATGAAAACATAAACTAGGCAATAGATGATGAAGAGATGGCGACCCATCGATTAAAAGGTTTCCTAAGACCAAAAAAACAACTTCAAACTAAAATTAAAAATGGCTGCCTTTGCACATGGCAGGCCCCATCTGACTTTCCTTTTGGAATGTGGTATGGTACAACAAACACCATCATCACATTTTAACATCATCGTCATCATCACCATCAATTTAACCTAATCCTACATTACTACACATATATACATATACCACAATAACTATACTTCTATACATTCAAACCAATTCTTTCCACTCTGTGTTAAGAGCGAGATCCTCTCGAGTTTCAATTCTCTTGACCATAAAAATTATTACCAATTTGACGAGTCAATGAAATGACTATCCAACTCCATCGTATTAATAAATAAATAAAAAAACTATATTGCTATATATACATGGCTCTAATTATAAAACTCACGATAAGACTCCTCCAATCCAACATAATTTCTTGATTCCGAGTTGATTCTTTGGATTTGTTTTGTTCAATTCAAATTGGCAACAATATTTCTCTGTTATTTTTTATTAATTGGGGTTTTTTTTTATTATTACATAACAATTTAGTTTTTTAAATTAGGGTTTGATTGGGATTTAAATTTAAAAATTTAAAAATAATTTAAAAATTAGGGTTGAATTTGCACGATTCCGATTGGCACATTAGTAATAAAACTTTAATCAAATATAATTTTCACCCTTTTAATTGCCATATAATTAACAAAAAGCTACAAAGGTTAAACTTAACATGTTTGATCTAAATCAAGAAGATTCCAAATTGTGTGATTGCCTATGAATGGGCAAAGCAACAACTAATCATGCATTAATGATTAGTTAAAGGTAATTAAGTTCATTATCCTTTAAACTCTATCAAAAGTTTGATTGGCTATAAGAAGAAAATTCTAATCTCTTTAGTTGGTAACTATTGCTTGTAGCGGGGGATGGAGCTCCATTGGGCCCAAGGAAAAAAAAGCGTTTTCTTATGAAAATGACATTTTAATCCTTTAAAATATAGAAAAATTATATTTTGTTCCCAAAAATTAAAAACATTTTCGTTTGGATCTCCAAAATTATAGTCCGTGGCTTGTAGTACATTCAAAAGGCAAATCCCATAAACCCATGTCCCAATTTGCATGCTCATTTCTTTAATAAAGCCGTTAACGGGACTTGAGGTTTATTTTTGGCCATCAGGAAGTAAAAGACAATATCTATACTATGCAAGAACCTGTTTGATCATCATTCTTTGCTGATCACCCTATTCTTGAAATTTGCACCTTTTCTTTTTTCTTTTTTTCTTTTTTCTGGGTCATCAGAGTTGTTACTCCTATTAGTAACCAGAAAATGGCACTTAATAGAGTCTCACTGATATATAAAAAATACACATTGAAAGTTCTGTCTCAATTTGTTATTTCATTCACAGCATTCGATTCCCTTTCTCACACACAATTTGATACAATTGAATTTTATAAATTTTTATGAAATTTTATTTTTGAACTTTACATTTCCACGTTAAATAAAATTTAATAAAACAAATTATGTATTTCAAATTTTTTAGTCAAGTGAGGGATTAAATAATTAATTTGCATTCGTGTTAAATAAGTTTATGACGTGAAATCTTAATTTCTTGCGGTAACTAATTTTATATCGTATTTAAATCATATAATTACATTATACTATACATATAAATTATAGCCTAAAAACATGTTATATATCATTAATGAGTGTTGCGATAAATGGTTCTGCACTCTCTGAGAAGGCATACTATTTATTATTTTTTGAAAATTTTCATCAAACATTATGAAATTGATTTTCAACCAAACCCGAAAATGGTACCTTCAATTAGAGGCGGAGGGAGGGGAGCCAAAGGTGACCCTCCGCCCTAACCCAAAAGATGTTTTAAACTATATCCCATAAAATAGTTGCAATTTTTCAATTTACCTTTTAATATAGTATAGTTTTTAAATTTCGCCCCTTCCTCTCAATCCTGGCTTCCCTACAGTCTCCAGTTACATTAAAAATGCAATCTATACATATATATATAGTATAAGGTGATGGTAGTAAAAGTATCTATGTAAAGTTAAATTTGAAACATGGGATGGGAATTTCTAGTATTTGAAGACTCATGGCTTATGGCAGGAACATTGGTCCATACTGTGTTTTCTTATGCTGCACCATTCTCTCCTGACACCTGGTGGGTTAGCAATGGCTACAGTCCATACCTAATGCCAATATATAGAAAGATATACTAAATCTCTAATCATAACCTAAAAAAAAAAACCCAAATCTCCTCTCTCTTTCTCTCTATATATAACCTCTAACCTCACATTTCTGCCCTTTATAGTTACTGCAGCCTTCTACCTGCTATTTCTTCCTTGCAGTACTGACTCTGTAGTAATATTAACATTACATATATTAGTAAAACCTCTAACCTCACATCTTCTGCCTTTATGAGTACTTGCAGTCCTTCTACCTGCTATTTCCTTCTCCTGCAGTACTGACTCTGTAGTAATATTAACATTACATTATATATATAGAGAGTATATACTATATTTATAATAATTATACCCGCCTCAAAATAAGCTCATATTCTCTAACTTTTATATATATACTCCGCCTCAAAATAAGCTCATTTCTCTACTTTAATCCATCAATGGCCGATAAGGAAAGAAACTCCAGCTTTAATAACCAGCACGCGTGCGAACCCTGCAGATCGTTTGGCCAGAAATGTAGCCATTTGGTGAAGAAGCAGCGTGCCAAATTCTACATTCTTCGACGGTGCATAGCCATGCTTATTTGCTGGCATGAGCGCGAGCGTGGAGAACCCTGAAAGTGAAGAAAGAAAACAATTGATTGGCTTTCTTCACCTATATATATCAATATATAAATATTTTTGTTTATGTATCAGTTTATATATGAGAGTGTAATTAATAGGAGTGCTTTTGATTAATTATATTAGAAATCTTAATTATTAGCTTTCTTTTTATCTTTCAAGATAGTATCAATAGTGCTTAATTGTCTTGAATTTGGTTTGTCAATATGGATTCTAGCTGTTAGATCTCTATAATTTTTTCAAGATTGTTCAATATCAAACTGTTTTTTGTTTTTTCTGCTTTCTTGTGTTACTGGTTTTACTTAAAGTGGTTACTTGAATCTGGAAAATGCATGGAAGGCAAATATTTGAAGGAACTGATGAAGGTTATGAAGAGGATTCTGGCTTCTTGCAAAATTCTTAAGGTGGGTTTTTGTTTTGTTACTGCTTATTAATGATAATAATTATCACTTAATGGGTTCTTTTTTTACAGTCCTTGACATGAAATAACTTGTCATTTTCTTCTCAGGAACTTTACATAGTGACAGATTTTCACCTTCTGGTTTTTTGTTTTCTCTTACAAGCAGTTCATTAAATTCTCTGAAAATAATCTGAAACCATTTGGTGGAAATTAAATAAAGAAAACAAGAAAGGTAGTTCCTGTTTTACAGCTTTTCACCTTTCTTTCTTTCAAGTAAATTAGACATGGGAATATTATTAAACCTTCATTAAACTAATTAAAAACAAATGACAGTAATTAATTAATTAAAGAAATTCATGCTAAAAGATAATTTTATTTCTATTTCTTTTAGTAAAAGAAACATCAAATGCCCTGCTTAAATATTAATTACCATGCTCCCCACCTTCCAAATTCTATATGATTTTCTAATTCACAGATCGAATCTAATCACTAGGCCTTGTGCTAAGGGAACATCAGACAAGAGAAGCATACATTAATTCTTTTTTTTTTTTTTTACATTAATTCTTTTTTTTTTTTTTTTCTCTTAAAAAACAAATTCTTTTGTTTGAAATTTGGACCATCCTCCAAGTTTTAATTTTTTAATATGTGGTCATGTGTCCATAGAACCCACCATCTTTTAGATTAATGTTTCTCTACAAGCAACAAAAAATCAATGGTTGGGATCAAATATTGGAAAGGGTTTTTTCATATCTATATATATTATCCTTGTATATTATTAAATGAAATAATTTTTGTTCTAAAAAAAAAATTTACAGCCGGAATTTATATGAAATTTGCATACTAATTTAATAAATAAACCCCAACAATCAACGACTTACAAATTAATTTAATAAATGGATACCATCAACTAAATTTAGTTTGATTGACTTGTTCTCAAATTTAAATTGTTACTATTGAAAATAATCCTACTTAGAACCACGATTGTATTATATAATTTTTCAGGCTTCGCAAGCACCCATTAGGCTCTTAATAAAAAAATGGAGAAAATATATATATATATATATATATAAAGTGGGTTAAATAGAAAATATATATATATATATATATATATAAAAGATGGGTTAAATGGATGGAAAATCACATGCAATATACATAATTGAGACACATACTTTGTTGATATGACATATTCACAATAAGGCTAGCTACCTTTATTTTATGTGGTTGGAAGGTTTTGCTTCCTAATAGACAACACAAAGCCTTAAAAATAGTCAACAAATCTCATACCTTTCTTAAACAATTATATACACTAGCACTTTTTCCTTACTCCAAAGCCCATCACAATCAATATAAGCATTCCCTAATTAATACCCATTTGAGGGGAAAAAAAAAATGTAACTATCAATGAAAATGTATTGGTACGTGTTTCACATGCATTAATTCATTTCTGATGATTGTGCGAGCAGAATTTAATTATAGTCTAATCCGCTAGAAATATTTAAAAATTTCGATAAAGACACTGTAAAATGGGAAGCATATTTTCATGGATGTAATATTCAAAGAATAATTAACCAACCATTGACTTGTTGGAAGAAGGATATGAGAGTGGACAACAAAAAAACCCTAGCTTTCGGTTTTTTCAAACAGGAAGAGAGATCGCTGGCAATCTTTCTCAATTGATATGATTGATAAAGATGGCACCTAGCTACAGTTTTCTTTTTATTTTTTTAGGTGGTACGACCTTATTGTAATAATTAATAAAGACTCAATTTTCAAAATTCATCAATTTTACTAATAAAAACTCATGGTTTACGTATTAAGAACAAGAGTTTCTTCCATTTATCTAATTGGATTTATATAAATATAATTGTGCTATTTTTTTTTTTCTCAATCATGAAAATCATAGGTAATTATTCATGAAAATCAGTACATGTACTTCTTTTTTCTCTTAGTCCCTTTTTTTTTTTTTGTTTATTTGGTTATAAATTCTAATAATTAGAGTATAGATTTGAATTCTATAACTTTAGAGATGACTATAGTATAATTAACTAAAATTATTGTAAAATGCACTTAATTAGTATAAATACGCGCAATTTACCCAATTGAATTTGATCGCAATGTATAATCTATCAAAAATTGAGCTTTTAATTAAATCAAAACGCTAATTTTAAATTAGAATAAACTTATTATTTTTCAGTCACACGCATTGATCAAGCATAAAAATAAAATAAATTAGTTTTCGAATTGATCAAAATTTCAATTTTAAATAAAATTATAATAAATGAAGAAGGTAGCCAGGCAGGTTGAGTTTGTCCTGGCTTGCTTACTCAAGATGGTGCCATATAATAAATGAATGAATAGGGAAGTAATAATTAAGCAGTGAAAGAGAAGTGGGTGAAACTGTAAATAGGCATGTAGCAAAAAGATGGATTGGAAAAGTAGAAAGAAAATGTGGGGTTTCATTGCAAATTAGGTGTCAGCAGCCGACAGCAAGAATCATGTATAATACTAATAGTAATAGCAAAGAAAGAAGAGACAGTAACTTGCTCGTACTACTACTACTACCGCACCTTCTTTGCTGCCCTTTTTATTTGCCTCTGCTTGTTTCGATATCCCGGTTCACTGTATTAAAACTAAATTTTATTTATACGGAATGATTCATTAAAAAAAAAAAATACTCTCATAAAGTTTTGCTCTATTTATATTATACAGAAATGGAAAAAAAGAAATGCAAAAACATAAAAATAATTTTGCACAGAGTAACGGTATTGAACAACCGTTTAGTCGACGGTTATAATATAAGATAATTATCATAAACTATTCACTAATCATTCTTAATAGAGATATAACCATGCTTCCATAAATTATTTACTATTAAATTAGCATATTACATGTCGGTGCCTGTCTACATATATATATAGATTGGGGGCTAAATATATTAAACAAACACTACTTACAATGAGAAAATATTTTTTAAAAAAGAATTTCACGAGCATCTACGTTTTTCTTTTTAAGTACAATATTAATATATATCTTTAGGGTTTGTGATTGTTCTATTTATAAGAACTACTCTATTATTTCTCACCTCTCCCAAATAAGAGAAAAGATTGGATTTTTCTTCATTTTTCCTCCTCTTTCCTTTAAATTTCTTTCCCCTCATTTTCTCATTTCCCAAACAACGTGTAAAGGAAGAAAAGAAAGTCAAGGGAAATAAGGGAAAGGGTAGGACCCAAAAGAAAGAAGGGAACACGTGCAACACTGACAAGGTTGAAACACAGATGACACATTAACACAAATGTAGTAGCGTCACAATGTTTTTATGTAGGAACCTTTCAAGACTTTCCACGTGGAAACGCACGTGTGGGTGAACAAAAACTGGTCTGAAAGCAGAGAAGAAGGCAGGCAGCTGGATGTTATTAATTATTATTATTATGGGAGAAATAGATAGAGAAAAAGAAATGACCTCTCTTATATGTTTTTAGGTTATTTTCTCCAACCACTTGTCAGTTTCCCCATAATTTTAGATTCTCTTTCTTTTCACTAATTATGGAGGATCTCCATTCTCCTCTCCTCTTTATAACTTCTTCTTATATATTCACTAATTATGGAGGATCTCCAATTCTCCCTTCCTCTTAATAAACTTCTTCTTTATATATATATATATAATATATACATGTTTTCAGGTAGATGATGTTTTGGATTATGTTATAGACTGAAAATTTTTAATTAAGATTTAATTTCTTGGTTTTTTTATAGCAATACAACAAACATTTTTGTGATTTTATATATAATTATGATAATGCAAATTAGTTTTTAAACAAGATAATTTGAAAGTAGTTTTCTTTTTTTTTTTTTTAAATGTTTTATGTCTGAAACTTATGAAGAAACACCCTTAATTAAATTATTGAAAGGTGGGAGTTTGAATTAATTGACATTATGGTTTTGATTTGTAATAATGTTTTTGTTTAGTAAAAAAAATAATTAAAAAAGATATAATTTAATTGGAATAAAATTTTGCAAATTGAAATATAATTGGCTAAGAAAGACACCTTTGCTTTCTGGAGTGGACCCCCCCAAAGCCTTAAAAGAGTCCTAAGCAATCAAATCAATCAATCAATCAATGTATGGGTAATCAAAATAGAGGATGATTAGGCCATTCAAATGACACATCTGTACATATGCTGCTTTACAGTGATCAATTCAAGATCAACCATTTTTGATTGAATCACAATCTCAATGTATGGGTATTAATATTACCCATAGACATAGACATATACATTGAATATTACCATAGACCATAGACATATAACATTATATATGATATTATATATATATAATATATATATATATATATATATATAATATATATATGAAATGGGGTGGGGTATGGTGTTAATGCCATAGACATATTGGATATTACTTGTGTGATATGATATGATGTGTATTTTCACCATTATTAATCATTTGTGTGTATAATATGATTTTTGATAATTTTATACATCTTGCATATATATATATATTATATATATATATATATATATATATATATAGCTAGTTTATATAGCTAGTTTTTTTACTTATAAAGTAGTGAGTTTTTTAATATTACCATATCTAAATTTTGAGAAATTTTTTTCGTCCCTCTAATTAATTTTTTCTGGTTCCGCTAATTTACCCTTAAATTAGAAAAGATTAAAAAAAATATTTAAAGAGGCAAAATTTGAAAGAATCTAAAACTACATAGATGATAGTTTGAATTGGGATTTGGGGTCATACTCATTATATTGACAAGAACACTAAAAGAGCAAATGACAATTATATATAATTTAGCATTAATCTTCAGTTTTTTTCATGTGGGGTTGTCTCCCAATAATGTCTTACATCTTTCATTTCTTGCCCTTATTGCTTTAATTTTTGGAACATGATTCCTTATCCCTGAATCCCACAAATTTATCCAACATTAAATCCCCATCGTTGGATTAATTCAAACTAGTTTAATCAACTCTGGCAGCTTATTTTGACTTTCCATCACCTCATCTCTAATCAACTTGTGCTGCCCTAAAATTTGACTCAATGT